CTCCTCGTACCTTAGACAACTATCTTTAGCTTCATTTTTTAGAGACTGGGACTCAGGGCCAAGGAGTTGCCCGAGGCGACTGGTATGGTCAAATGGTCTGGTCAAGATTTTTTTTAATTTATCTCTGAATTTTTTGTGGGTTGAATTGTGTTTCCCTAAAATTCGTATGTTCAGTACTCAAAATGTGACTGTTTGGAGAGAGGGTCTTTACAAAGGGTCATCAAGTTAAAATGAGCTCATTAGGTTGAGCCCGAATCCAGTTATGACTGGTGCCCTCATAAGAAGGGGACATTTGGGGACAGACACGCACACAGGGGAGGGCATCATGTGAAGGCTGGAGTTATGCTCCCACAAGCAAAGGGACTGCTGGAAGCTAGGAGAGGGGACAGGAAGAGACCCCTCCCTCACAGTCCTCAGAAGGAACCAACTCTTTTGACACCTTGATTTCACACTTTCAGCATCCAGAACCTCAAGGCAATACATTTCTGTGGTTTAGCCAAACAGCTTGTGGTGCCTTGTGATGACAACCTTAGAAAGCTAATGTAGCATTTATAGCACTATGCTGTCTTTAAGTCAATTTACCTCCTGACTCTTTGTCTTCTTATGTTTTAGGAAAATGTTTGTTTTGACCTCTTATTTTATAACCGGCCTTGAGGAGATGAGGAGGACAATTCATGGTTCCTGTTACAAAAGTGTTACATTTACCTTGGTTGGAAAAGAAAAGGTTATGTTAGGAGCATTGTCGAAGGGAGGAATGAATTTGAGCATGTAATGCAAAGAACGCTCCATCATTCTCCAGTTGTTACCAGAGAAAGGTGAATTTCCTCTCTCAAGACAAGAATGGCCATCTCATCTCATCCTCAGCAATTAATTAACTTTGCAGCAGGGCATAGGTTCCTTTGCAAAGGTCTGCGGTGATTCTGCTCAGTTCCTCCAGGTCAGAGCTTTTTCTGTTCCAACTTATGCTCAATCAGCACTTCCTAAAATGTGGAGAGACTGTAAAAAAAGGGGGCAGAGCCACACACTGCAGGCGTGAAATGACTGTCAGATTGCTCTTCAGTCTTTAAATTGCTTTGATATAAGCAGCAACTTTGAAAAGGATAGGCTTAGTATTTGCCAAACCACCAGTGTACTGCAAGGAGATTTCGGGGAGCATTTTATGCACGGCACACCTCAGTGTGACTGGCAGCTGAAAAGCAGCCACAAGCACACCTGGCATTAAGGGGAATTACTGACACACTGTGATTTGAAATGGACGGTTTGCTCTCTTTTCCTCCTCCCATTGCAGATTCTGCTGACCAATCATTTGAGTTTATGCATTTATCCCCTGTACCAGGAGTGTCTAAGGGAGATCTAAAGGGTTTCCAGAAGGTAACCTCATTCCGTGCTTCCTCTCTGCCTTCTTGCCTTCAACATGTATTAATTTTTAAGCTGCCTACTACAAGGTTCTCTCTCTGCTAAGTTATGTGACACAAAGACCATTGTAACCCAGTGTCTGATCTCAAGCATCTCAGAGTCCAGGTGGGAAGCAAAATACTAAGTTTTCCCCCACTGTCTCTTCTGTGCACCTGTGGTTAAGAGCAGTGATCGTGTTATAAAAAGCATCACAGTGCACCTCCCACTTTACACGTGGTAGAGTAAATCCACCAGACATCACGTTCACTGCCACCTGGATAAACCCCTAAGAATAAAGCTGATCTTGAGAGAAAATTGGTGATGAGCACCAGACAGAGAGTTTCACCAGCGCCAAGTCCCTCGCCCCGTCCCTGGTACACCTGGGGCTCTCTATTTCACATTCTTACAGTAAGTTTTTGTTTTGGGTGTCTTGGGTGTTGATAGTGTTGTTTTGTTTTAGATTAGGCTCAGTGTTTTACATTTCAGACTGAAAACACCCTGCTTTTTATGAGGTTTGTACCAGAAGTGGAGGTGAAAACTTCGGGAACCAAAATGTAGAGCTGGCTTTGTCCGGATGGAATAGGGGAACCCTCATCACTCCCTTCATCCTCAGCAGGGATGCTGCAAACATTCTGTTGCAAGGTTACACAGCATCTGGTTACAGGTTTTTTGCCGTATCTTGGGAGTTTCGATCTTGTACCCCCTCCCCAAAACTGGAAATTGAGTGATCTGGTAGAAAAATGTCAGCATATTGGATTGTAGGCTCTGTTTTTCAGTCTTCAGTAAAATCCCACAATCAGGAGACAAACTGGTCCATCTGAGAGCAGAAGGAAGACCATGTGCCCCTTTGTGTAAGAAACCCTTCCTAGACGGCCTCAGCAACGCTAAACAGTAAAGGTCAGATAGCAGAGTATCCTGCACCCCACGACAGAGTCTAACGAGCAAAAACAGGGCAGTGAGAAATGCCGCTGAAGACGAGTTTCTCCTCCCTCTGACAAAGGTAGTAATTCCCTAAAAGGGGAGCGACTTGGATGCAGTTGTGCGGAGCGAAGAGGGCTGGCATTGCCTTATCACCCTATCCTGTCTTTCACTTTTCTCTGCGGCAAGAATCAAGACAGAAGCCATTAATCAGAGGCCAAAGAGGGTGGCCGGGATGCCAGGTCTATTGATAAGCAATCAAAAGGGTAGGGTCCTCCTTCAAAGGTAATGAGCAGATGCAGTTTCTGGCATCAGTCCTACAGCCTTTAGAAAATGAAGCTGTCAGATAGCTGACTGGGATTTCAAGGGCTATCTATGGCTGGAAGAACAACCAATGTCATAGAACAAGATCTGAGTTCCTTACTCCCGGAGATAAACCTCAGTCTCAAACCTCACTTAGTACAGACGCAGCCCCAGGGTGGGAATTCTCACAGCCCCGCTCCCCGTAGAGATGTCCAGGGACGATGCTGGGTGAGAGACTCCACGCAGCAGGCAGGCTCTGCGGCAGCCGTGTTGGCTGAAGAAGGAGCTTAGTCTTGTAGACAAGACAACAAAGGGCTGGAATCCATCCCTCTCCACTGAAGTGTTGTGGCCACTGCCTGTCCCTTCCCCCTTCTCCTTCTCCATGGCAGTTTTACTTTGACTATTCTACCTGTATACTAAAGGAAGCAAAAATTGTATTTGCCAAAATAAAAACCCAACATTTTCAAAATTTTTCTAAGTTCTAACTCGTTAGAGGAAGAACGGCAAAATATTTAAAGACCATATATTTGGGGATGAAGGCAAAATCTGGACAGGATCTTGGAAGCAGCAGTTTTGTTTCTACATACAGAGTAGCTGTATTTTATCAGGTGGGAGTGTTTGGGGAATTTAATGCATGCCAAAAAGTATCTGTAAATATGCTGAAGGAATCAAAGACTAGATGGTACACACTGCAAGTGCTCTTTCCTCTGGTAATTAGAAATCAGTTCCTTTGATCACCACAGATATGGATGCAAGTCCAAGTGTAGTCCTCTCACACGAGTCTGTCTTTCTGGGATTTTTCAGGACCAATCTGAGTCTTTATTGCGGATTTTTCTGCCATAACCATGGGGGGGATTTCTTGTCTTGTTCCCAGGAGTCTTGGAGCTTCTAGGATGAATCCCTGGACCATCCCATAACCAATTTCTCTTTTTAGGGAACGATAGAAGTGAGAAAGCAAAAGAGACAAGGGGAGCTCAACACTGAGTTCCCAGTTCTGGTCTCTGATACCCTCAGAACTTTATTATTTCCTGTGGCTCATCCTACAATTATGTGAACCAAGCAAGTAGCTTTCCAGTTAATTTCCTTTTTCATTAAACTGGTTAAAAATGGGTTTCTGTCACTTCCAGATGAAAATACTCTTGTATTTTCTATGGAGTCATTGAACATGAACAGAATAGATGTCTTTTAATTCACAGAAAACTTTAATCCAAATGTGCAACTCATTAAACACTGTTAATTAAAAGAAAAACACCATAAAAGGCAGAATTTATATAAATCATTATTAACAGCTTTCCAGGTCGAACGTTTATTATCCACACAAACATTAGGACTCACTGTGGTATCATATACACTCACTCGGATAACAAATCTTTTACGGCTAAAGGCAGCAGAGCAGGGTGGTTGAGATGCTGGGCTTCACAGCAGACAAGCTCTGGGCTGGACCCCTACTCTACCGAATTCCTCATGTTATGGCTTTGAACAACTTAATTATCTTCTCTCAGCTTAATTTTCCTGATCTTTAAAATTAGCCACACTACTGTGAATGTTGCAAGGATTAACGAGGTAACTCAGGTAACACCCTTAGCATCACTCTCACACAGAGTTCATGATCAATAAATGGTATTCTCAGTGAGACTCTGTCCCTTTTTCAGGTGTTGCACACACATCAGAGATTCCCATGTGTATGGGCAGTCACACAGAGTTGGAAACGCTCCTTCCCACAATACTCTCTGGTCATTATTCCGAGTTTTCTAACATCTTGGTACTCATCACATAAAAGAGCCTCTGCAACCCCTCTGTCCAGGGCTGAGTGCTGCAGGGCATCTCAGGATGGTGCAAAGAAAGGCCTGAAGCCAAGTACAGAGGCACTAATAATTTAGACACTGAAGCGCTTGCTTTCCTGTGCACCCCCCCTTTCCATTTCATACATAACCAGCAGAACACAGTTATGAAAAACTCAATTAAGATAAGCTTGTCTTAAAAAAATAAATACACATTCAATTTATACCATTTCTTAGAACTAGTCTGGTAGGAAAAAAAAAATATTCCTCATACTATTAAATTCCCATTCAACTTTCGGCCCCAGAACAAGAGCTGCTGGCAATAATTGCTTTTTTAATGACTCACTGCAGCTCAGGGTAAACTCTGCTGTAATTATAGACTTGCAGAGGAAGTACCTTAGGACGAGATTTGGGCAGAGCCAAAATATCATTTTTGTGCTTTCTGCTTCTTCCCATGAAAGCTTTTCAGTCTTTTATTTCTGACATTTATCGAGTAAATCCATTTAGAAAAGTTATCATTTCCCCTTGAAAAGCTATGCAAGTAAGTACTAAGGTAAGAGGGCCATAGACTTGTTCTTCAACTTGGTTAGAGAGCTCGTTTACTTGTGAAGCTCACTCTGCCTCCTTCTGAGCGTCTGTGATTCATCTCACTCTGCAAAGCTGCTCTTTTGGTTTCTCTGTGCACATGGTAAGGAAATGGCCTCTCAGACTAGACATGAATGACTTCAACTCTCAGTAGGAACCGCATCCAACTGTGGGGTTCCCAACACAGTGTTCCAGCTATAAATTCCAGGAAGAGAATCTAATTAGCCCAGTGTGGGCCAGGACCTCCCCTATTCAGCCCGTCTTGGCCAGGGAGGAAAGCTCGTGGAGTATAAACACTTCCTTCATGAGTGGGAGGAAAAGTAGCTATTGAATAAGAAGCAGTGGGCTGAACAGATTCCCCAAAGGATCTACCTGACAAGATTATCCCAGTTCACTAAGAAACTCAAACCCAGAAAATTCATAAGCTATCACGTTGCCCAGCTGATAAGTATATAGATTTGATCTCAGGTCTGTCTGACTATAAACCTTTCAAAAATGGGGTGCACTATATTTGGATTTAAAAAGAAAATGTTAGAAATTTTTCTTCTCCTGTAAATAAAAAGTAAAGTTTATATATATTTAATTTTTCTTTTTTCTCTTTTTAAACTTTTTGTTGTTGTTGGAGGGAGGTAATTAGGTTTATTTATTTATTTATTTATTTTTAGAGGAGGTACTGGGGACTGAACCCAGGACCTCATGCCTGCTAATCATGTGCTCTACCACTTAAGCTATACCCTCCCCCCAAAGCTTGTAGATATTTAATATGCAGATTGACATCGAGCCTTTGACTTGGCTCAGATGTCAGATGGTAACAGTATTATAGGGATAGGGGGCAGCTCTTCCACATGGGGAACTTAAAAGTTGCAGCCGTGTATTTATTTGCTTACAGGTTATTCCAATGTATTTGAGTTTGTGTGCCTGCAAAAAGGATTCACAGATTATATGTAGTTTTGAGTAACTGACTTACAATCACATGGATAAATGATGTAAAAAAAAATTCCTGAAAAGAAATCATGACTTGAACATAATAATAACAATGTTCCACAAGGAAACAGTGAGAAAATGGCACAGTGATTTGAAATACGGATTGAAGAGCCACTATTCTTAATGATAAATCTTGCTTCAAGTGTATAGTGAGTCTTGAGATATTAGCTAACAAGAGTCTAAAGCCATTACAATTAGAAAGACATTTAACATCTAAGAGTGCAGAACATTATTAATAATAATATGCTTCAGTGCAGAAAAAGTCTCCCTGTACCAGGAAAATGAAGTGAAAGGATATTATTTTTAAAACATCATTTATTTCTTACCTATATCATTCTTTTTCTATTTATATTTTGGAACATTATGATCACATATTGGGTTGAACTGTATGAAATGGTCATATACTTTTCATTGGTCAAAAAGGCTGACTGCTGGCAATTTCATACTGTTCAACCTGAGTGTGTGTATATATATATATATATATATATATATATATATATATATGTATACAATAGTTGTCACATATGATTTGAGGTAAAAAAACATGCATCTACTGAGGGAATTTATAGAATTTTTTGGATAGATGAGACATAGGACTGACAAAGTTTGTGGACCCCTGTCTTGTATCATGTTAGACTAGGGATGAATTCATTGGCATGAGAGCACTGAATGAGACCTTAAAGAATAAGTAATTTCTCAAGAGATGAAGAATTTCTAAAAATCAGAGAGAAGGAGTGGGTCTTGGAGCAGTGGTTAGAAAGTAGGCTTAGTCAAGATAAGAAGGCATGAAAGTACATGAGGGTGGAGGGTGGACAAAAGGACTACTTCTCTGGCAGAAATGTAGTGGGTAAGGAGACATTTCACTGTCGTCCAGCTCCCATTGAGAAAACTGAGACAAACTGCTATTCTTGTTAATAATCTGAGTTTTTTTTAGGTTATAAGATTTTTGTCTTTTATCCTTTTTGTATAGCAGTTTGACTTTAAAGAATCTAAGTTTGGATTTCTCTTACATCACGTTGGCCACGTAAATCTGATGACTTGTGAATTTCAACACCAGGCTGAATGTTTTCCTCCAGTGTCCTCTACTTTTTAAAAAAATTCCTAGAATATTTAGGTGAGGCTAGACTTTCTCATTCTACTTCTGATTTTCTTCTACTTCTTCATATTTACGGCCCTCTCTGATCTACACTCTTGTTCATGTCTTTATTTCCATCTGTCAAATTCCTGTATTGTTTCCCTAAGCTATGTCTAGTCTGCTGCTCTTCAAATAGTCTAAAATATTTAGTAATTTTTTGAGGTTTGTTCTTTTTAAACTTGCCTAAAATGTTATTAGTAGTGTATTATTCCTTTCTCACGTTTCCCATCTTTTATTTCTTTCAGCGTTTTAAATTTATATCATGTACCTAACGATTCTAAATCTGCAGCTCTAGGGAGTCTACTTCTGGTATTGTTTCTGCTCACCCACCCTCACGGTGGTGCACGTCTTCCTGCGTTTTGCATTTTTAGATTGTGAGGTCATCTTCTGAGAGACTTTGTCTTCAAGAATCCTTGGAGGTCTGGGTTGCGGATGTGTACCTCCAAGGGGTTTTCATTTGTTTCCATCAGGTACCTAGAAGTATTACCAACCTAAGATGACCTTACTTAACTAACTCCTTAGCTTATGTTCTCCAGACCATACACAAGTAGCGTAAATGAAGAGGAAACTGAAATCCAAAACATATGCAAATCGGGACGTGGGAGCCTTCCTCCCCTCCCAGAGACAGACAACTCGCTGCTGCTTTCTGTTTCCTGCTGAGCAGAACTGTTTCCCACTAGAAGCGCTTGGAAATCACGGCCTCGTTCAGGAACTCTCAGTTGCAGTCTTCAACCCCTCACTTGTTTCTCTCTCTCTCTGACTCTGCCATCACTCAGGCATTGCAGGCTCCCTTTGTGCTTTCAGGCTCCTTGAGCTAAGCAGGCTCCTTGGGGTCTCCCTCTGGTGGTCCTAGCCAAGCCTCTGTTACTTCTATTCCTATTTCCCTAACTGCCACCAGGACTAAAGTTTAGATCTGCCTTTCTGCAGGTCTATAATCTGGAGCTCAGTGGGATGAGAATATTTGTTTACTCCTATTTAGTCCCCCACCTAAGCTTCATCCTCCAGACAGCTTAGTCAGGAGTCACGCACTTTGGGTAATAAAATAATATATGTGGCAATACCCATTTGGCTCAGATTTCTTCTTCTATTTTGTAACACCCATCTATTTCATCCTTTAATTGCCCTGAAGAATGGGCAACAGCTTTTAGTATCAGTTTTTCCTTTTATTCCTTTCTGCCATTATTTGCAAGTCATAGACAGCAAAGCAAAGATGAATGCACCAATGGTATGATTTACATACCCTCTTGAAGGCAGAAGCAGCTTTCTGCCACTCAAGTGTTTGGCTCTTCCATTAAGTGTCCATGTTCTTTTTTTCCCAGGTTGTAAAATTAAAGATGTAAGAGAGATCCTGATGGCTCCAGAGGGAGCAGTTTGTTTAAGGTGAGAAAAGATAATCTAGTTCATTCTTTTTTCATTCAACATTTCATTATCATATTTATTGATAATATCTTATGGAATAGGAAGTGTGTTAAAAGGTATGGCGACAAAGATAAACAGGATATTCCTGTCCCTTGAAGAGATCTCAATCTAGTGGAGGAGACAGGGGGCATAAATAGATAATTTCACGCTGAATCCAAATTGCTCAAGAGAGAAGGAAGGTATTTTCTGGGATATGCAGAAGACCTTCTGGAAGATATGAGGCCCAAAATGAATCTCCAAAAACTATTGAGAGTCAGTCCATCCCTTTAATTAATATGTATTTATTGATTATTGATTATGTGTTGGGCAGCAAGATAGGCTCTGAACATACATCTGTTAATAACAAAGATGTGGTTCCATCATTGTGGGTTTGCACGCTACAAACCAGTACTTGTATTTAGGGACATTTATTACACAAAACCAAAGACATATGGTCACAAAAGCCAAAGCACGAATATTTTGTCATCTTTATTCTTAATAGTCCAAAACTGGAAGCAAGTCTGATACCCTTGAATGAGGGAAGGGTTAAACAAACCATGGTCCTTCCACACCATGGAATACTACTCAGGAACACAAAGGAATGAGCTACTGATATATGCAACCACCTTGCTGAACCTCCAGAGAATGATGCTGAGTTACAAAGGCCAGTCTCAAAAGGTTGAATACTATTTGATTCCATTTATATAACATTTTTTAAATGACAAAATGACAAGAATGGAGAACAGATTAGTGGTTGTGGGGGTAGAGGGAATGGAAGTGGTTAAAAAAGGAGGGATTCTTGTGGTGACAGCACTGTTCTGCATCTGTACTGTGGT